TGGAGAGTTTCTTTTCTGGTCCTGTCTGTTTGGTGTTCTGTATGTTTCTTGTATTTGTATGGGCATGTCTTTCTTTAAGTTCGGGAAATTTTCTTCCACGATTCTGTTGAAGATCTGGTCCATGCCATTGTCTTGGGATTCTTCTCCTTCTTGTATGCCTATGATTCGCAAGTTTGGTCTTTTTATGGTATCACTCAATTCCTGCATATTCCATTCTTGTGATTTCTTAAATTTTTCATAATCTTTGCTTGAGTGGTCCAGTTCGTCCACTTTATCTTCCAATCTTGAAGAAGACAAAAAAGAATGCCTCAGAAGAGTTTTATTATAGAGAATTCAGCATACTAAGCCTCATAATTATATTTTTTGTGGTTGTAACAGTATTTTTCAACACTTACTATGTTGTAGACACTGCGAAGCATTCAAAACTTAATGTCTCATTTAAATCCTTCCAACACTATCTTAAGATAGGCCTAGAAGGAGTCAGTAAATGCCTAATATCATAGCTTGCAAGTGTAAAAGCCCTATTAGAAGCCAAATCTTGATCAAATTATATTCTCCACCATAATGTTCCTTTACCTCTAAGGAAAAGGCATATTTACTTATGCTGTGTTAGGAAGTGTATGGTAACACTCCATAATTCAGTAAGTAATAGTAAGTCAACTTTCTAGACAACTGGAAATTAAGCATTAGGACATTCCTTTGTCACTGAAAACATCTTTTTTTAGCTAATTATTCTTTCCATCCTACTGATTCCTTCAGTGAGTTACCATTGAAAATTTTGAGATGTTTTAGCTATTACACAAAATAATTCCAATTTCTATGCCTTTTAAATCTCTTTTTTTACACTTAAAAAAAATCTTTTAGCCCCTCTCCCCTAAAAAAATAAAGAGCCTTTAAAATTCTTCTTTACAAAGGCATTCCCTGAACACTTCACATTTACCTTGGTTTTTGCTGCTTTGGATTTATGACTGTTAAATCCATGGAAAGGGGAGGTTGAATTCATTCTCATGGAAAACTGAGCTCATCACATCACTGATATACACAATTGTGTAAGCTGTGGTTGCCGGATAAATGACTGCCAGGTGATTTGACATTGTTGCCTTTGTTGGAACTCTAAGAAGCAAATGCTAATCTTACTCTTCTATTTCTGTTTTCAGTTCATTTTTATTCAACTTATATAACTGAAAAAGGACTTCATAATTTCAGTTAGAAACAACTGAACTTTTACCTTAGGGACAAATTTATTTTCTCATTAGTTCTCTCCATTAAACTTTTTCTTAATAGTTGAATAATTTAAGAGAAAAGGCTTAAGTATATCTGTGTCATGTTTTTATCTTAGCTGTGAACCTATTCTTCATTCTGTGAGCCTTTTTTCATTCTTTTCTTCCACTATTAGGTGCTAACTAAAGAATTTTATAGTCTCCAATCCTCTTCTGAAAAACGCATTACTGAACTTGAAGCACAGAACTCTGAGCATCAAGCAAGACTAGACATTTATGAGAAACTGGAAAAAGAGCTTGATGAAATAATAATGCAAACAGCAGAAAGTAAGTTCCCCACCCCACCCTGCACTTGTACTCATGTGTAGTCCTTTTTCTGCCTGCAGAACAGCCTGGCATCCCTTCTAAAATGACTTTAATATGTATCTCTTTATAATTGATGTGGGGACTGGAGAGATGGCTTAGCAGTTAAGAGAACTGGCTGCTCTTGCAGAAGACCTAGGTTCAAGTTCCAGCACCCACATGGCAGCTAACAGTTGTCTGTAACTCCAGTTCTAGGGGAATCTGATGCTCTCTTCTGACCTCTGTGAGGATTGCATGACACAGGTACACTTAAATACATGCAGGTAATATGCTCATACACATAAAACAATAATAAATAAAATATTTTAAAATATAACAGGTGACCAACTTAAAGACTATTCTCTATTTTTCAATATTAGTTGACATAAATTTTCAATAATGGGAATCAAAAAAGAAGTAGGTTAGATATGACAGATTTTATATATAATTCACTCATTGAACAAGCGTTAAACTTTTGTGTTTGACAGCATTGGGGATATGGAGTTCATGCAAAAATTCTTACCTCAAGAATGGGCATGTAGCTCAGTGGTAGAGTGCTTGTCTAGTGTGTATATAAGGTCCTAGAGTCAGTCCCTAGCACAGCAGAAAAACCAAAACAACAATAGTAACAAAAAGTGTCGATGCTGGGCATTGTAACACCTTCCTATAATCTAAGCACTTAGGAAGCTAAGGCAGAAAGATCTCAAGTTCCAGGCTAGCCTGGGCTACATAGTGTGACCCTCTCTCAATATCACTGTAAAAATTATCTTGCTGGAGGAGTTCCTAGTCTAGTCTACTATAGTGAGAGACAAGCATGCTAGCAAATAAATTGAAATAGACACTGGAAGCAAGGGATGTGTAGGACTTTTGTCAGTACAGAGGTTATGAGTTAAACAAACCTTGGAGATGAGAAATAAGAGAGGAGATGATGCTTGAATGAACTTTTAAATTCATTGAGTGTACTAGATTATATGTAGTCTCTGATGTTTAGTTTCCATTTGTTTGTTTGCCTCCTCCCTGCCACATCATGCTGTCTTAATGCTTCTTCCTGTTTTGTTGTTGTTGTTGTTTTGTTTTGTTTTTGAGAGATGGTCTCATATAGTCCAAGCTGGCCTCAGGCTTGCTTTGTAACCAAGGATGACCTTGAACTCCTGTTTCTTCTCTTCCACCACCCCAGGTGTTGGGATTATGGCATGTACCACCATGCCTGCTTTGTCTGGTGCTGATAGTGAACCTGGGGATTTATGCATTCCATTTAAGCACTCTACCAAATGAGCTACATTCCTAGCCCTTGTCTCCTTTTTGTTTTGTATTGTATTTTAATTTTAAAGCCGTGTCTCAAAGCCCATACTGGCCTAGAACTTGCTGTGTAGCCTTGGATGATATGGCCTAAAACTTGCCATGTAGCCTAAGCCTATCCTGAACTCTTGATCCTCTTATCTCAGCCTCCTAAGAGCTGGAGATATAAGCATGGGCCACCATGTTCAGCTCTTTTCTAATTTAAGGGATGTTTTAAACTAACATTTACCTATTTACTGTGACATTTGCTGTAGTACCTTATTTGTGTTCAAAATTCAGAAATAATTGATGTTCTTATAAAAGTGACAATGAACTTCATTTGAATTGTACTTAAATCTAGGAAAGGTTCTAAGTTTCTGGGATACATTTTCACGTAAAGAAAATTTTTAATTCATTCCTGCCATTGTCTTCTTTTCCATTTTCATGATCAATGTCTGATAGTTTCAGTAAATTCCCAATTTGTCTTTAGTTTCTTCACTGGAGTTCATCTTTGTTAGACACAGATTTGGTCATATCATGTGCCTGCTTTAATGCCTCTCTTTGTCTCTGAAACAACACAGTACTGGAAATGGCCTGAACACTTATAATCCCAGTACTTAGCACTTTTAGGCAAGAGGACCTCAAGTTTAAGGCCAGTCTGGACTATATAGCTACTATTTTTTTTTTTTTTTTTTTTTTTTTTTTTTTTTTGGTCTTTTTGAAGCATGGTCTTCCTGTAAGCCCCAGCTGTCCTGGACTCACTATGTAGACCAGGCTGGCCTTGAACTCACAGAGATCCACCTGCCTCTGCCTCCCAAGTGCTGGGACTACAGGCATGCACCATGCCCTTTATTTATTATTTTTATTTTATGTGTTTGCGTATATTGCCTGAGTGTAGGTAAGTGCACCCATGTTGTGCAATGCCCGCGGAGGACAGAAGAGGCTGTCAGATCCCCTGGAACTGGAGTTATGGACAGTTGTTAGCTGCCACGTGGGTGCTGGGATTCGAACCCGGGTCTTCTGCATGAGAGCCGGTGTTCTTAACCACTGAGCCATCTCTCCAGCCCTATATAGCTACTCTTTAAAAAAAAAAAAAATCATTAAGTCAAACATGTTCATATAAATTTTTTTAAAAATTTACTTTTAATTATGTGTATATATTGGGGGGAGCTATGTGCACTTGAGTACAGGTGCCCACCCACAGAAGCCGAAAGAGGGTATCAGATCCCCTGGAGCTGTAGCTATGGGTTCTGGGAACTGAACTCAGATTCTCGGCAAGAGCAGAGCAGTATAGGCTGTAAATCATGGAGCCATCTCTTCAGCCCTTGTATGAGTCTTTATGATGAGACACCTGCTTATCTTTCTAACTTCCATGTTTGGCTCTTCTCTTTCATGTCACATTGTTGCTTGAATACATACTCTTGTAATTATTTAACTTTGCATATGTCTTTTATCTAAACAAGTTAGTTACAGAAAGGAGCTACTCAGAAAACCCACAGCTAGCATAATTCAGTGGAATGAAATGCTGAATGTTTTCCCATTAAAGAAGTTAACAAGGCAAGGATTTCTGCTTTCATAACATGTTAAACAATATTTCAGCTAATTGATGAAATAAGACAGGAAGCAATAAATAATCATATGTAGGTCAGAGCTGGGATGTAAGTCAGTGGTAGAGTACTCGCACATTGTAGTTCAATCCCCACCATCATCAGGAAGCATACAGAGCCAAGTGCAGTGCTGCACACCTATAATCTCACTACTCAGGAGGCTGAATCAGGAGAATCCCAAGTTTTAGGTCAGCCTAGCCTATATATTATGGCAAGACCTGCCTCCAGAAAAGAAAAGGGAGGGAGGGAGGGAGATGTAAAGATCAGACAACTACTAAAACTAAATAAATTTAGGAATATATAAGGCTCACAGTAAGAAGTTAAATTAGAAACGCTCAACTGGAAAAAGAAATATAAAAACAATTTCATTACATTTCAATTTCATTCAGTAGTATCAAAAAAACCATGAAATACTTAGGAGTCAGCAACCACAAAAAGATAAAATACTGCTAAGAGGATAAAGAACTCCTCCCTTAGTGTCAAAAAAAAAGTATCATGAATTCTGTTAATTTAATTTGGTTTCATCCCAGTCACAATGCCAGCAAGCTATTTTGTATTTCCTGTCTTGGAAATTCAAGGAATCTAGAACAGCCAAAGTGAATTTGTAAAAAGGACAAAATTGGAAGAGTTATGCCACCTGACTTTCCTTTTAATATAGTTAAAGTGTTAGGCAAGCATATAGTAATGGCATAAAGACAGTCAAATACAGCAGTGAAGCAGATACAGAACTCAGAAGCAGATCCATGTGCGATGAATATTTGATTTTCAACAAAAGAAATAGAGCCATCAACTGGAAAAGGGAAAGTCTAGTTTAATAAACAGTGCCAAAAATTAGACATCTTTATACAAATGAACCTTAGCATACCAATGTTAACTTGAACTGAGACCTAAATATAATAGCTAAAAACATGTTAGCCAAAAATGAAAGTATCATTCAAACTTGGGATAACTTAAGATCTTTTAGAAAGGGCCTGAAAGTAATTGCCACAAAAGAAAAAGATAGGGCAGATATCATCAAAGTTATTCAAAAGACACAATTAATAAATGAGTACTCAAGCCACAGGCTCTAATAATCACTGTTTTATATCTGACATAGCAATGGTATCCAAAATAAGAAAATTCCTAGACAGTCTTCACAGCATGTAAATTTGACAAGGAACTGGTATCTATTGTGTTACTGTGATTAAAAAAAAAAAAAAAAACACTGGCTAAACCAACTTGGGCAGGAAAGGGTTTTATTTGGTCCTACAGTTCACAGCCCATGGTCAACGGAAGCCAAGACAGGAACTGGAGCACAGACCATGGAATTATGCCTCTTTCTGACTTAACTCCCCTCGCCCATGCTCAGCCTGCTTTCATATACAACACAGGGCCACCTGCCCGGGGGTGGCACTGCCCACAGTGGGTTGGGCCCCCTCATATCACTCAGCAATCAAGAAAATACCCCACAGAAGGCCAATCCAATGGAAGAAATTCCTCAGTTGAGGTTTCCTCCACCCAAGTGTGTCTAGTTGCCAACTCAAGCTGTATCTAGCACAATATCCAATTATAATAGACTGAAAAATGTCCATGTCCTAATCTCTGCATTCTGGATATTTTACCTTAGATGGCAAAAGAGACTTCCCAGTGTGACAAGATTACCTTGGATTATTTGGTTGGGCCCAGTGTAATCGCAAGAGCATTTGTAAGAGAAAAGGTGATGTTATGAAAGCAGTTCAGAGAGAGTCTAGGATGCTGCACTACTCACTTTGAAATGGAAGAAGGCACTGGACTGAGGCATAGAGGCAGTCTTTGGAAGTAGGAAAAAGGAAACTAAGATTCTCCCTTCAAGCTATCTGACAGAACCAGTCAACATTGTGACTTTAAACTCAGTGAGGGGACTGTGGATATAGCTCAATTGGTAGAGTGCTTGCCTTCCAAACATGAGGCCCAGGGTTCAGTCCCCAGCACTGGAATAAAAAAAGGAAAAAAATACCTTCTTCAGTGAAAGTAAGTTTCTGACTGATCTCTAAGAACTGCAGGATAGGACTGGAGAGATCGCTCAGTGGTTAGAACACTGGCTGTTCCTGCAGAGGACCCGAGTTCAGTTCCCAGCAACCACATGGCAGCTAACAACTGTCCTTAACTCCAGTTCCAGGGGATCTGCACCCTCTTCTGACCACCACGAGCATTGAACAACACAGGTGCATAGTATGTAAAACACTCATACACATAAATTTTCTTAAAAGAACTGTAGGATAATATGTTGTTTTAAGTGAAAAAAATCTGGCAATATATGTAATAGAAATAAGAATTTAATAATTGAATATATAAAGATTTCATGCAACCCCAAGGAAAAAAAAAGCCCCAAATAGCCCAGATTTAAAACATGTCTCAAAGACTAAAGCATAAAGCACCTGCCACCAAGCCTGATGACCTGAGTTTATCCCAAACTTTGGAATGAGAGCTGAGAACTAACCCTGAAAGTTGTCAGAGGACAGTTCTTATATTAATTGTACTTTCTTTACCCTTCCTAAAACTTTACTAATTTTCCTGTGTTCTTAACCTGTGGTAAGGTTAAAGTTTTATCTGCTCACTGAATCTTCTTGTCGGCCTTCATTCTTCCATTGTTCTCTGTGGAGAGCTCCCTCATGCTCATGCCTACTCAGTCATGTTAATAGTTTTGGTTCTTTACGATGTTGCTGTTGTAGAATATAGCAACTGGAGTGTTACCATAACCTGTTAGGAATTCTCTGTCATAAATCTAAGCCACCCTTTTCCTGATTACTGAAATTTTTCTTTAATTTTAGCACCAACTACAGAAACCCATAGGTTATAGCCCTTTCTTGTATTGATCCCTGAGTTTCTTATTTACCATAGAATAAAATTCAAACTCTTTAGCCTAGTAAGATTTTTGTTCCATTCACTATTAGAACTGAGCCTTTTTTTTCTAACACTTCCCAGGCTAAATCCAGCCATTATTTTTCACAATAACTCAAACCACATACTCATAAGATTATGCCTTTGCAAATATATAGTTCCCTCCTGGCCTTCTCTGAATGTCAGTTTTCCCCATGCTTACTAATGACTTCTAGCAGGGGAAATAGTGGCACTCAGATACAGTTGCTTTGTGCCCTGCTAGTTCTAAGACATGTTTTTAAATCTCTCTAGTAGCTCTTTTCATACTGTATAGTACACTGATTTTATAATCAAATCCCTAGAATAGTTAGTCCATGAATTTTTAACCCATTAAGTAGTAAACTCAGAGTTAGCATGTCTATCAACATCTAACTCATGTTAACTAAATTTTCCTCTTTGCTTTGATTAGAGTTATGTAAGAGACAAGAATCAGATGTGCATCTACTGATAGCTCTAGTTCTGGCAACATCAAGTCAGAGATCCTCTTGATTCTGTAGTTAAGGAATCATTGATAACAATATTGGTATTCACATACCATCTCTTGCATGTACCCTTCCCAACTAATAATTCTGCCTCTAAAAGTTTACCCTCATTTACTCTGAAAAACGTGAATAGAATTAAAGGAAAACAGTTATTAATGTTCTTAAATTCTTTACTACAAAAGTACTAATCAGAAATTTTGCACATTATACATTGATAACCATGCATGACCAAGCTTCACTTATATTGTAAAGTATTTGGCTTTATTTTAAATCTGAAGTACTTGTGAATGTAAGATATGCCTTTTAGCATTAAAATAATGGTTGCTGATAGATAACTCTAGATACATACTCCTATGTCCTTAACTACACTAAAAGTGTTTATGGCTTTTGCTGAAAAAAATTTCATCCTAATTAAAAGAGATCCTCTGACCGCTATACAAATACTGTGGAATGTATGCACTCATACATACATACATACACACACACACACACACACACACACACACACACAATTTTTATCCATTTAAGAAGCTAATCCAGGGGCTGGAAAGGCAGCTCAACAGTTACGAGCACCAGCTGCTCTTGCAGAGGACCCTGGTTTGATTCCCAGCACCCACGTGGCAGCTAACAACCATCCATAACTCACAGTTCATCAGGGAGCCTAAGGTAGGAACTCAGGGCAGGAACCTAGAGCACAGAGCTGAAGCACAGGCTGTGAAGGAGCATTGCTTACTGACTTGCTCCCAGCCTGTGCTCAGCCTCCTTATACAATACAGGACCATCTGCCCAGGAGTGGCACTGCCCACAGTGGGTTAGACCCTCCCACATTACTCAACAATCAATAAAATGCCCCACAGAGAAGGCCACAGGCCAGTCCAATGGAGGCAAGTCCCCAATTGAGGCTCCCTCTACCCAGGTGTGTCAAGTTGACAACTAAAGCTATTCAGCACAGCATTTTATGTTAAAGGCCTTTCAATGCCTGTATGATTATTCTCTGCAGTAAGAAAGCATAGTATATCATATGATGTAATCCCATGACATCTTTTAAAAGTAACTCAAGTGAGGATATACCTTAATGTACTTCAGCTCTCTCAGATATGCTTTAACGCTTTTGAATGTTCCTGAACTTCATAATTATTATAACCTTTCATTTTGACTTCGGCTAAGCTTTTGGGGGAGCAGTAATTTCACCTCACATATTTTAATATTTTTCAGTTGAAAATGAAGATGAGGCTGAAAGGATTCTTTATTCGTATGGCTATGGTGCTAATGTTCCCACAACAGCCAAAAGACGCCTAAAGCAAAGGTAAAACCAATATATAAATATTGTATCTACTCAAGCTAAATGTAGTTAGTGAATGCATTTTGATGTGATGAGTTGAATGATAAAGTTACTTTTATTATTTATATTCGTAAATGTGAAATTGTTCACAAAACGGCACAGTTATAACCATGCATTTCATGTATAAAGTGAATTTAATAATTAATAGAAGTGTATGTTAGAACTTTCATAGAATTAGATTCGCTGATTTTTTTTAAGCCATTTTCACTTTAATATCAGATAAGCACAAATGCTTTGTAGCAGTAATTTTCAGGTTAGAACTTATGCCCTTTTCTGTCTTTATCCTTTGTTTTTCATTTACCTTCCTGCGTTCCTTGAGGCATACTTGAGAGAGAGTGATGTAGGGGTAGCATATATATCGCAATTAAAACTATACAGGGTATTTTGGTTACTTGTTGCTGTGACAAAATACCTGAAAAAAGAAACTAAAGGAACGTAGGGATTTTTTGGTTCACAATTCAAGGGTATAGTCCATCATGGCAAAGATGGCAGCCACAGTGTGAAGAGGCTGGTCACACTGCATCTGCAGTCAGGAAGCAGACAGCAACAAATACTGCTGGTCATCTTTCATTTTTATATTCATTTTGGAACCCCTGATTGTGAAATGGAACCATTCATATTTAGGGTGTGTCTTCTCACCTCAATTAATCTAGTCTAGATACCCCCTTTCAGATCTGATGAGCCTTGTCAGGTGAGTCTAGATCCTCTGAAGTTAGCAGTCAGTATACACTGCTACATAAGGTTAGCAAGGTATAGTGGTGCACATCTGTACCCCCATCACTCAGGCAGGAGAATCAAGTTTGAATTCTGCCTGAGCTATATAATGATTTCTAAGCCAGCCTGGTCTACAAAGAATAAAAAGAAAATGGAAAGAAAAGGAGGATTAAGGGGAGGGAATAGAAAGGGGATGAGAAGGAAAGAGAAAAGGAAAAGACAAAGGAAAGCATGTAAGGCTAAGGCTCTGTGACGACCAAGAAAACTGTTTAGAAGATGCACTAGTTATCTGGTGAGGTACTGCTTAGGAGAAATTTTCTGGTACACTAACAGAAAATTGCACCCATATTGATCTGCTTTCTAGTTACTGAAGTATTTTGCTTACTCTTCTCCCTAAATTTATCTTGTTTTGCAAAAACATCTCACTGCTCCATTTCCTGTTCCATCAAGTCTAAATGTTTCTGCCAGACTTGCAAGCCCCTCTGTAATGTGACCCCCACATCGGCATTCTTTGTCTCTCTTCCCAAAATGGCAAGAGTATGTCTCTACTTACAAATATTTTTCTCTTTGTTACAATAAAACATTTCACTTATTACCCCCTCGTTTCCCATGTAATTTCCCCAGCTAGATGGAAGTTCAAGTTTGGCAATTCTCTCTTGTTCTCTTTTTCCCTAGCTCAGTGAATACCTAGTAAAATTTTTTCTTGATCTGGATAGTCAAGGATCCAAAACTGTTGTTTTATGTGGATTAATGTAAATATTCAGAGACATGCAAAGTAAGAAAACCCATCTTATGATACTTTTGTAGAAGTTTCCAGTAATTTTTAAAAGATTTTTAACTTATTAGTGCTGGGAGTGCTAAGCGCATCCCTTTAATCCCAAGACTTGGGAGGCAGAGGCAAGTGGATCTCTGTGAGTTCAAGGCCAACCTGAGGTACATAGTGAGTTCCAGGCCATCCAGGGCTACAGGGAGACCTTGTCTCAAAAAGACCAAAAAAAGTTAAAAAAAGTTAAAAAATATATATATTATATATATATATATATTTGTTGTTTTGTTTTGTTTTTAGTCCATTGTTGCCTACTAGAGAATAAACATGTAGCTTTATGACTTCTCTATCAGCAGAAAAATGCTTGATAAAATACTCAAAATTAAAATCTAAAGGAAAAATTCCATTCTCATTTTAACGTCTGAATCTGTACAAGAATCCTTGTTACAAAAAAAAAAGAAAAGAATTTTTCTGTTGTTAGCTTTCATTCTGTGAGTTCCTTTGAAATTAAAAGTAATTGTTGCTGGTACACCGTATTTTTTAAAGAAGTTCCAAAAAGCAGAAGTTGGTATTTTGATGCCTAAAGATTTAAAGAACCACAAGTGATTCATATTCCAAATGATCTTAACTGTCCAAATATTTCTGAAGATTCTATCACTGAGCTATCTGTGTGCCTTGAACAAGTGCCTAATGGGTATGCTATTAATATCCCTGCCAGCTGGTGCCAGGCATTCTTCTTATGGTGAGCCACAGGGTTATTTTGAGGAAGTGCTTCTCAGGTCATCTAAACTGAGGGAAGAGAGTGTAAGTCTAGACATACTAGGAGGACGTGTACACATCCCTACACCCATTCATACAGCAACTTTTATGAAGTACCTTCTGTATGCACAATTGGAACAGTGGCACATAAGATCCCACTTTGGGTATCTCATGCATTACTGAAGTTTGCAAAATCATGTGGTTTGTCAAGGGCTGTTTGTAAAGAAGGCAATTGCTTTATGCCCTCTTTAATTTTTGTATGAGAAAAGCCATAGAGGTTTCAAGAGAATCTGTACTTACTACTCTTTCACATTTGAAACTAAGGCAATGCAAATTTAAGGTAACATAAACTAAAATAGTAAATAGAGTGCTTGCATAATGAAGTTTTCATTATATGTCCACTTACACATTTATTAAAATCAAAGAAGCTAAATTCCCTTCATGTTAAATTTGATTTAAATTTTCATGTATTCAACAGCCAAAATGCTTCCTCCTCAGATACATTTTTTAAAATTTGATTTGTGTGTGTGTGTGTGCGTGTGTGTGTGTATCACACAGAACATCCCAAACCATCTTATTCCATTATATACCCACTTCCCAGATGGCACCCTCCCGAAAAATAATCAACATATGTTCTCCCTCATGTGTGGATCCTAGAACCAGACTCTGATAATAAGATGATGCTATACAGCAGTCCCTTCTGCATGAAATAACTACCATCATCACGACTTTCACTGAGCCTGATCGCTAAGCAACATCACAATTGGGCTTGTTGAACGTTGTGCTCATTCATTAAAGAAGGGTCAAGCAGGGTCATTGGACCCTCACTGCATTGTCCAGCCACTCTTCCCAGCCAACTGTATGTAATTTGATCCTAATCACACATGGACTCCTGGATTTGGAGAGGGCTAAAGTATACAATCTGGGGAAGGCTAGGAAAAGGAGGCATTACCCATGCTGGGTAAAGTCTTTCCAGTGTGCATACCCTCAGGCCATACATACACCTCAGCAACCCCTCAGTTATCTTGGTAAGTAAGCTCAGTAAATTCATTGGTTCCATACATAGGAGATCAAGAAATATATGTCTAGGTAAGGTTTATCTGAGAACAACTGGTCTTTACCCAAGATTTAGCTACATGACACACAGTAATTAAAAATACCATATTTTTTGTATGCCAACCTTAAAAATTATATTTTAAGGTTTAAAAATCAGTCTGGATGTGGTGGCACATGCCTTTAGTCCCAGCACTCAGAAGGTAGAGGCCAGCCTGGTCTACATAGGGAGTTCCAGCCCAGCTGGGGCTACAGGGAGATCCTGTCTCAAAACAAAAAGTTTAAAAATCATTTTCAATAGCTACCTAAACCTGTCATTTTTAGGATTTCTGTTTTTGAATATCATGTTGCCATTAATAACTGGGAAAGCCAATGAGAGATTTAATAATTGCCTCTTGTTACCAAAGGAATATTATAAAAATAAATTGAGAAAACAGATGTGAAGATTAGTACACAGTGTTTGACATAGAGTGTATGTTCAATAAATGCTAATTGATTGTATCAGGTAACATGTTCTTGAAGTAGATTACATAGTTAGTAAAGCTAGTGTTCCAATACCCTTCCCTAGGCACCATTTGAAATAACTCTATTCAAATGTTTTAAAATTTTAATGAAGCCTCTTGAAATGCATGGAAGCATGGGCAGGAAGCTGGCTGTGAGGTTTGCTTCCTTTGGTGTGAATCAGTTTCTGAAGTGTTCTGCCAGCTTCCTGCACAGTAGCAGCATCTGAAGGATTTCCAGTTTGAACTATACTGCTAAATTTCTGATAAACTTGTCAATTAAAATAAGGTAACTCTCACTTTGAAGTTTCATAGAAGCATAAGCAGTTGCAAAAAAATTGTTAAGCCTCTTTTAGGTACACAAAAAAAGCTGAAAGGGCTTATCTAGTTAACGTAGATTAAAATAAAATGGATTCCTCTTGACATGACAAAACTTGAAAATCTGAAGCAATGTTTTTTTTCAGCAGCAACTATTTGAAAATAGCAAACAAGATATTCTGGTTATGTGTTTTGGCTGGGCTGCTGCATGGAGTGAGTGACACGCAGGTACCATGAGAGCTTAGTCTGTTTGTTTCTTTGTCTTAGTTGATCTGAATGTTTAGAAGCAGTTTAGAACTTTTTTTTTTTTTTGTCTTTCTGAGACAGGGTCTCCCTGTAGCCCCAGCTGTCCTGGAACTCACTATGCCCTGGAACTCACTAGGCTGGCCTCAAACTCACAAAGATCCGCCTGCCTCTGCCTCCCGAGCGCTAGGATTAAAGGTGTGCGCCACCACACCTGGCCTAGAACATTTTTAAATTAGCAAAATTTACTGTCTACTGTAGACCTTTTGTTATAGTTTCTATCTTGTTTTTCTAAAAATATTGTTTTTATTTTATTGTGGGGTGAAGGGTTATGTACATGCTAAGATGTGCACATGGAGGAAGTCAATGGACAACTTTTGGAAGTCAGTTCTCTCCCTCTACCATGTGGGTCTGGGGCAGTGAACTCAGGTTGTAAGGCTTGGCTGCAGGTACTCATACCTACTGAGTCATCTTGATGGTCTTCTACCTACTTAATAAAGAATTTTAAGTTGAGGAAGTGAAGAGGTGGCGCAGCAGTTAAGAGCACTGGCTGATCTTGCAGAAGTCCTGGGTTCAATTCCCAACACCCACATGGCAGCTAACAACCATCC